ACTGAAATGGTCTTGACATCATACAGTTTTGTATGTTAACTGAAAAAAAATTAGGTATTATTATTTTTCCAGTTGTGTAATAACTTTCAACATCTCTCTTACTGCAGTTACAAAAGAAATTAAAGCTCTACAACTCCATGACAAACCATCAGCTGTTGGAATGATCAAGGAGCCACTGGGGATGAATGGCATCACACTGAATATCGCCATCACAGGGGAAACTGGTTCTGGCAAATCCACCTTTGTTAATGCCTTCAGAGGTGTGAGTGATGATGATGAGGGAGCTGCTCCGACTGGTGTTACAGAATGCACCATGGAGGTTAAAGAATACTTCCATCCAAACTATCCAAATGTTAAATTCTGGGATCTTCCTGGAGTTGGTACCCCAAATTTTCCATCTGACACGTACCTGGAACGTGTTGGATTTGAGAAGTTTGACTTCTTCATCATCATCTCAGCTGTTCGGTTCAAAGAGAATGATGTGAAACTCGTGCAGGAGATTCAGAGGATGAAGAAAAAGTTCTACTTTGTTTTCTCAAAAACTGATGACGTTATAAATGCTGGGAGAAAAAAGAGAGACTTCAGTGAAGAGGAGACTCTGACAAAAATCAGAGACGACTGCGTTCAAGGTGAGCGACCTCGTTCAGATGCAAAATAACACAGGTCTGAAAAAAATTTCAGCTGCATGGGATATTTTTGTTAAATGTCATGTTTTTTATGGTGCTGAATCCAAAAATGATCTCCATGTCCCTCCATCACGTACAGTTTCTTTGCAAAACATGAGGAGCTTACATTAAAAAAGCATAACAGCGATGAAAAAAAATCAATGTTTTATTACAATTAATTATGCATAACTGTTCTGAGATTCATTAACAAAATTAACCTGTTGGGACATGATCATCTGATTTCTTCATACCGCCAAACACAACAACCCCCCCCCCTAATTTCTATTTGCAATTTGCATTAATTAATGTATGAAATCACTATTAGATGTTTTTTTGACTCAGGTATAGGATACCAGATTTCAGTTTAAAAAGGGACATTTTTACGTTTAATAAAAACTAAAAGCATTTTTGCAAGAAAACCTAATAAGATGGAATTTTTAAATTATTTTTCTCAGTTTCAGTGAGTAAAATTCTATAAGAAACAACCCAAATTTCTCTTTAGTTTTTTGGTTGCAGACCTGTGTGATTTGTACCTGAGGTCAGTTTCTGGATTTAATGATGGTAGTTTCAGCTGCAACTGGACAATAAAATAATTTAAATCTGCTTTGAGGAAGTTTTATTATACTGAACACTAACTGTGTGGCTGGAGGATGTACTGCTTCT